CGTGTAGTGCAGAGTGGCGGGCGGGGGAGGTGGTGCGGCGCCACGTGCCCCTATTATGACGTACCATGCTTGTCATGTCATGCCCGGAGGCTGTATGTTGTGCCACTTTGCTATCCGTTCTGTTGCGCTGTGGTTGCACGTGCATGTGCTTCAGTGCTTGTGGTCGCTGTTGACAGCTTGCAACCTCCAGCTGGGGTGGGGAGTTGTACGGGCGAGCCTTCATCACAACAGCATGCACGTGATACGCCATGACACCTACCCCCTTAACATACCCCCTTAACACATCCGTCAGCTTTCGCATGCATGCTTAGCCCGTTTTCTGAACCTGCCAGCGGGAGTCCCCGCACAGCAAGCCCGCCGTCCCACACACTCATCAAGCTCACACCGTCGCAATCTCGTCAGCTTAGGTACGACCCAACATACACGGGCACCCAAGAGGCATCCGTCCTCATGCCCGCTGCTAGCACAATCAACGTTGCCAAACCCTAAAAGCATTAACCACTAGGAACCCAGGATAGCACTACGCTGACGTTTGTTGTCACCCAGATTGACCAAAATCGAAGGTGCCTAAAGTGCAGGGGATGAAGTCGGGCTTTTCCCTATGAGTAGACGCAGTGGTAAGGAGTAATGGGTTGCCATTACTCTAAGCTCTGCCAAATCTGTGCGCCTGGACCGGCCTTCGGCCGTTGATGGAGTGCTGTACATATGAAGCCAGTGTAAGTTTTCGCTGGGTCTGATTGATAGATAGGCGCCTCCTGGGAATGCTACAGGGTATCCTTCCTTACCTCTTTCCAATACGCTTTATACCGGTATGGTATCCTTACCCGTTTTCAATACACCTCACAAGGTGTCTAGGGTGCTGGTATTAGGTTCGGCGAAGAAAACGACGGAAATGTGCCCAATACGAACTAAGCCGGTTAAGTGCATGAGCAGACTGGTGGCAACCGTGGCATTTTGGCCTTGGACCAGAAATCAACTTGGGCATTGGCGGCTTATGTGCATATGTTTTATTAATTGAGTACACAATCGTTGAGTTAGTTATATGCCAGGAAAAGCCCGTTGGGAATGCTCAGGAAAAGAGGAATGACGCAGCTGGAGTCTCGGAGTAGAGTTCATTGCAGATTTAACCAAACGGCTTTTGAATGGGAGGCAAATGTAGATTTGCCACTCTAGCATGGCAAGCGAACAGCAGGGTACATACAGGGCTACCATAGCGTATGCACATTCGCAGCTTGGAGCCTAGGGGCTTGATTTGCTTGCAAACAGCACTACCCCCTCCACCGGCAACGCCTACACCATTACTGGCTTCTTAGTGCAAGGTGGCTCCTTCAGCTTTGACTGCTGGCTGGGTCGGTGGTTGACGACGTGGCGGTTCCATCCACAGGTGGCATCAAGTGAGCGACACACTTCGTCCTCCTATCACATGCTGAAAGGACTTCCCTTTGTGTTGACAGGCCTTTCAGAACTTGGTTGTGTGGTGAAATACCTTCATGAGCGCCACAAAGTTATTACTGCTGGAGGGCCTAGCAACCGCACAAATAGAGTTCCACTTTCAAACTGCGCAAGCAGCTGGCGCCAACCTCTGCTACACTGCCGAGTTTAGCCACGTATGTACGCCCAAGACCTCGTCATCGATGCATGACCTATACCTCTACCACCACACCCGTACAGAAGCAAGGACCACAAATGGCGCCGCTTCACCCTGATGGTACCAATGGCTGCACCACCAGCATGCCTGTTTCAAAGCCTTGCACCACCAGCTAGCAAAAGTAGTATAATAACAAATACACTGGCAAACGAGTAGTACATACAGAAACTAGTTACGCCCTGGCCTTTGTGTCATGGCACGGTGAGTGAGGCAGCAATTGGAGGGGCATGGAGGGGTATATCATCGTTTCCTGTACGCCATCACCACCGCTGTCACCATCAGCAGCCAGTGCACCCCTGCCCAGCCTTCATACACAGTCCTGGCTCGTAAAAGCATGGTTTCCATTGCTTTTGGGACCACAAAGTACGGTGTCGTACGGGTGTTTGGCATTATAAGTCAATAAAATCATTCCTTGTCATCGGTTGCGGGCGTGGCGCAGTGGTTAGCGCGTAGGTCTCATACGTCAAGTGTGACTTGGGGTATCCTAAGGTCAAGGGTTCGAAACCCTCCGCCCGCAGCTCGCTCGTGTAGCTCAGTGGAAGAGCACCCGTTTAGTAAGCGGGAGGTCCCGAGATCGAAACTCGGCGTGAGCACTTTTGCGCCCTTCTGGGCATGTTTTGCTGGCCGCCACTCATGTTTTGGCATCCTCTAGTCAGTGGCTGCCTCTGCATTTAATGCTGACCCCGTAGAACTGGACATGGGGCGCCAAAAGTGGATCTGTCATGGGCTGCTGCTTGAAGCAGTCCCACAACACACTAAGCTCCCACTACACATACACCAAGCTGCGCTATAGGGCAATCAATACCATGTAACAACACAAGGTGACACAGCTCAACACCTCCTGACGTGCACACGCACGGACGTGGGCAATCCTGAATGAGGGGCATCAGTGCCGTGTTGTGGCGGTGGGGGCTCTGCCCCAAAACACTCAGGCACAACCGTATCAGGACGGATACAGAAAAAAAGCAACTCACAGAGCCGCACTCCTCAAATCCCAGCCGCAGGCCTGTCTCCAAATGAGCCCCACACGCGCCTGCTCAACGACATCCACCGCACCCCAAACCCACAAGGTACATATCAAAGTAGCCCGAGCCGTTGGTTGCTGCCATGTAGAGAAAGGTATGCAGGCAGCCACACACCATGTTGCTACCTTCTTAATAAATACTACAAAAAAGGCATCACATAACTCTCCTTCCCCTTTCTCGCCTGCCTCCCTTCTCCCAGGCGCCCCTGGCCCGCTCCGACCACCCCTCCGACCTGCAGCAGGCGGAGGGGCTGCTGGCGGGGGGCGCTGCGGACCGCGGAGCAGCTGGCGGGGGGTGGCAGCGGTGGGACAGCAGACGGGGAGGAGGAGGAGGCAGCAGACGGGGAGGAGGCAGCAGACGGGGAGGAGGAGGAGGCAGGCGGGAACGTGGAGGTGGAGGAAGACGGGGAGGAGGGGGAGGAGGGGCCAGGGGAGGGCGGTCGGCGCCACAGCGATGGCAGTGAGGGCAGCGGGCGCGGGTTTCTGGTAGAGTTTAATGCGACGTGTAGTGCAGAGTGGCGGGCGGGGGAGGTGGTGCGGCGCCACGTGCCCCTATTATGACGTACCATGCTTGTCATGTCATGCCCGGAGGCTGTATGTTGTGCCACTTTGCTATCCGTTCTGTTGCGCTGTGGTTGCACGTGCATGTGCTTCAGTGCTTGTGGTCGCTGTTGACAGCTTGCAACCTCCAGCTGGGGTGGGGAGTTGTACGGGCGAGCCTTCATCACAACAGCATGCACGTGATACGCCATGACACCTACCCCCTTAACATACCCCCTTAACACATCCGTCAGCTTTCGCATGCATGCTTAGCCCGTTTTCTGAACCTGCCAGCGGGAGTCCCCGCACAGCAAGCCCGCCGTCCCACACACTCATCAAGCTCACACCGTCGCAATCTCGTCAGCTTAGGTACGACCCAACATACACGGGCACCCAAGAGGCATCCGTCCTCATGCCCGCTGCTAGCACAATCAACGTTGCCAAACCCTAAAAGCATTAACCACTAGGAACCCAGGATAGCACTACGCTGACGTTTGTTGTCACCCAGATTGACCAAAATCGAAGGTGCCTAAAGTGCAGGGGATGAAGTCGGGCTTTTCCCTATGAGTAGACGCAGTGGTAAGGAGTAATGGGTTGCCATTACTCTAAGCTCTGCCAAATCTGTGCGCCTGGACCGGCCTTCGGCCGTTGATGGAGTGCTGTACATATGAAGCCAGTGTAAGTTTTCGCTGGGTCTGATTGATAGATAGGCGCCTCCTGGGAATGCTACAGGGTATCCTTCCTTACCTCTTTCCAATACGCTTTATACCGGTATGGTATCCTTACCCGTTTTCAATACACCTCACAAGGTGTCTAGGGTGCTGGTATTAGGTTCGGCGAAGAAAACGACGGAAATGTGCCCAATACGAACTAAGCCGGTTAAGTGCATGAGCAGACTGGTGGCAACCGTGGCATTTTGGCCTTGGACCAGAAATCAACTTGGGCATTGGCGGCTTATGTGCATATGTTTTATTAATTGAGTACACAATCGTTGAGTTAGTTATATGCCAGGAAAAGCCCGTTGGGAATGCTCAGGAAAAGAGGAATGACGCAGCTGGAGTCTCGGAGTAGAGTTCATTGCAGGTTTAACCAAACGGCTTTTGAATGGGAGGCAAATGTAGATTTGCCACTCTAGCATGGCAAGCGAACAGCAGGGTACATACAGGGCTACCATAGCGTATGCACATTCGCAGCTTGGAGCCTAGGGGCTTGATTTGCTTGCAAACAGCACTACCCCCTCCACCGGCAACGCCTACACCATTACTGGCTTCTTAGTGCAAGGTGGCTCCTTCAGCTTTGACTGCTGGCTGGGTCGGTGGTTGACGACGTGGCGGTTCCATCCACAGGTGGCATCAAGTGAGCGACACACTTCGTCCTCCTATCACATGCTGAAAGGACTTCCCTTTGTGTTGACAGGCCTTTCAGAACTTGGTTGTGTGGTGAAATACCTTCATGAGCGCCACAAAGTTATTACTGCTGGAGGGCCTAGCAACCGCACAAATAGAGTTCCACTTTCAAACTGCGCAAGCAGCTGGCGCCAACCTCTGCTACACTGCCGAGTTTAGCCACGTATGTACGCCCAAGACCTCGTCATCGATGCATGACCTATACCTCTACCACCACACCCGTACGGAAGCAAGGACCACAAATGGCGCCGCTTCACCCTGATGGTACCAATGGCTGCACCACCAGCATGCCTGTTTCAAAGCCTTGCACCACCAGCTAGCAAAAGTAGTATAATAACAAATACACTGGCAAACGAGTAGTACATACAGAAACTAGTTACGCCCTGGCCTTTGTGTCATGGCACGGTGAGTGAGGCAGCAATTGGAGGGGCATGGAGGGGTATATCATCGTTTCCTGTACGCCATCACCACCGCTGTCACCATCCCCTACCAACGGCCCCTATGGGTTAATCCGGCCTACGGATCAACTTAATCCGTCTTAATCCGTTTTAATCCAGGATAAGCCTGTTAGGCAGGTTAAGGCGCGTGCATGCGGATACAAACGGATTACATCGGATTTATCATTGATCCAACCGCATAATCCAATGTAACATTTGTGCCTCTACCGGATTAATGCGGCTTAAGCGCACGAAGTTGCACCTGTACCTAGAGGTCACATACAAAGCATGCCAACTACCATAACCAAATAAACTGTCGTAGAACACGTGGGTGGCCAAGCGGTGCCTCGCTTGCCCTGTGTATGGGACCTAAGGGTCACATCCAGAACCAATGCATGTTTACTGGATGCCAATCAGGCACAGTCGCTCCCTTTGCTAGCCGTACATGGCTGGACAAGCTGTGCCTCGCTTGCCCTGTATGTGGGACCTAGATAGACATGACGGCAGTCAGGCCGTTGTGGCCGCCTACAAATAAAGCAACGGGGTAGTAGTAAACTAGGAGCACACGCATGCCAACTACCATAACCAAACTGTCGTAGAACACATGGGTGGCCAGGCCGTTGTGGCCGCCTCATACAGCCCCTGCAAAGCAACGGGGCAGTAGTAAACTAGGAGCACACGCATGCCAACTACCATAACCAAACTGTTGTAGAACACGTGGGTGGCCAGGCCGTTGTGGCCGCCTCATACAGCCCCTACAAATAAAGCAACGGGGCAGTAGTAAACTAGGAGCACACGCATGCCAACTACCATAACCAAACTGTCGTAGAACACATGGGTGGCCAGGCCGTGGTGGCCGCCTCATACAGCCCCTACAAAGCAACGGGGCAGTAGTAAACTAGGAGCACACGCATGCCAACTACCATAACCAAACTGTTGTAGAACACGTGGGTGGCCAAGTGGTGCCTCGCTTGCCCTGTGTATGGGACCTAGACATGACGGAAGTCAGGCCGTGGTGGCCGCCTCATACAGCCCCTACAAAGCAACGGGGCAGTAGTAAACTAGGAGCACACGCATGCCAACTACCATAACCAAACTGTCGTAGAACACATGGGTGGCCAGGCCGTTGTGGCCGCCTCATACAGCCCCTACAAAGCAACAGGGCAGTAGTAAACTAGGAGCACACGCATGCCAACTACCATAACTGGATACTACAGACCACCACTGCCACCATTCCAAACAACAACCCCCCCGCAAATTCGTCAGTTTTCCTTGTTCCCCCCCGCATCTACTGCACTGCGCAATCAGTCCCCATCACCTAGTTAACCCGGATGCCAGTTCCCGCAGCCGTATCGCTATAAAACGCATATAGTCTCCCGCGGCTTTATTAGAGTTGGGGCCGCATGCATGCTGCAAGCGACCTCCAGGGGTTTTGACGAGGGCTGCGGCGGCCAGATCCAGAAGTCTGCGTACCACTTCAAATGACGGCATCACGGCGCCTTCAGCCCATGCATTCTGAACTTCTTCCACCAGGGACCTGCACTCGGCTACCAGCTGAGTCTGTACCGCGCAAACGGTAGGGCCCACGGCACTGGTGCGGAAGAGGACTGTGGCTAAGGTTGCTCCGAAGCTGTATACGTCAAACGCCAGGGTGTGGTAGGTGGTGGTAGCCTGTGGGTCGGGCTGACCCTCGGCTTCTGGGGGCCGGTAGCCAGGGGTGCCCACCTGCAACGTGACAACCAAAGGAAACCATAACTGATGACACCACTGTCACAAAGTTTGCATTGCTGACCGTACGAAATATGGCAACGCGTGGGAACAGCCGTTTCACCTTCTATCCGTATGATAAACCTATTGTTTCCGTTAAGTTCAGTCCCATTGAAGCACTCCAGTGGTTCAACTTACCAAGCCAAACCGCGTGCCGGACTCCACGGTCACATCATAGTCTGCTAGTAAACCGACGACGCCGTGACCACGATCAGTGACCTGCAAAAAAGCAGCGAAGATCCAATTGGGTGGTGGTGGCGGCGGTGTGGGAGGAGGGGGGTCCAGAGGGGGGCTCGGAAGTGGAAGCCAGGGGGGCTCTTTCACTGTCAGCCGCCACCCCATTGTACATCCCTCCACCTTGCTCTAAGGGTTACTATCAGCAAACAAGAGGACATGCTCACCAGGATGTTAGCAGGCTTGATATCCCTGTGAACCAGCCCTGCGTCGTGCAACACTGCAGCGCCATTGGCGGCGTCAGCAAGCAGCCCGACAACCTGCTGGAGTGGCAGGTTGGGTCCTGGCGGTTCCAGGCTGCCATGGGTCGCCTCCTCCCAGACCAGACCAGTTACCGATCCCGCCGGGCTATGGGCTATCCCTACGAGCTGCAACAGGTTCTCAGAACAGCAGGTCATCCCCACTGTGATGTTCTGCCGGATAGCACGAAGGACGTCGGTACTGGTGCTTGGGCCCAGTGTAAACCGCTTGATGGCCACCCTGCGTGCGGAAGCTGTAACACCAGCTGTTACCGAGCCAAACCCGCCCGCTCCAAGCTTGATCCAACCGGCGCCGGCCGCTGGCCGCAACCGAGATGCGGCCCGCTCCATTTCGCGCACCTCATCCAGGCTGTACCGCTGCACGGGCTCCATTGTACGCTGAGGGATCAGGACGGGTGGAACAAAGTCTTGCGGTCAAAGGTGATCGTACATGTAGGTAAATACGGTTTAGTGATCATGGGTTAGTCACCGCATTTAGGCATACATCCGAAATATCTTACGTATACGACAGTTCTTTTTCTCACATTGAAGGAAAGTGGTTGGATGGAGAGAACCAAGCAGGTCTCCCGCTTAGTGGCCTTGCTGGTTCCCTCGTGTGTCACAAATCCTATTGCTTCAAAGAACCTCTTGCCCCCGGCATTGTCAGCGGCTACTGTCACGACCACCGCCGCAAGTTGGAGCCGCTCCGCAAAGCGTACAAGGCCCCTGACGAGGCCACTGCCGATACCGTCACGCTGTGCCCGCTCTTCCACACGTACTTCAGACAGGCGCAGCACTAGCTTCGCGTCATCAAGGTCCGGCCTGGGAACATCAGTACCAAGTGTTGCTAATGAGGTTAAGGGATTCGCATGGCAAGAAGGGTGTGGTGCTATAAAGATAGACATGTGTGAGGTAATCCCGGTAGGATGATGGGAGGCTGTTGAGCGTTAGACTGAAAGGTGGAACGTCGTACCTGTAAGCTGCATATGCTACAGGTACTTTTGCCCCTCGGTCCTCGATCAAGATGAACTGGACAGATGCCTGCACAAAAACAAAACGTGACAACAAGGTGTGCAGCCTAGCAATACGCATGAGCCCCCGCCACTTACATTGCTAAACTCTCCACGTTTCTGCTCCACCATCTTCCGCATACTTGCTTCCCTGCCCCTAGCCGTGTCTCTTTGAGAGCGGCTCAGCTTTCCCCTTCGACCAAGGGCTTTCGGTGTGCTCCCTGGCACCCCATTGTCTAAAAGAGAAGATGCATCGTTAGCAAAGCACAGCCCCAGCGCCCATTCTAGCAGCCCTGGGGGCACGGACTGTGCTGTATAAAACGCATAGCGGTCAGCGAGGGCAGTTGGAAGGTCAGCTACTGTTAGACGTTCGTTCTGCACTACAGCCAACCGCAGCTGTAGGCTGGTGTCTGTAAGGAAATCGGACAAGTCAGCACCAGTGTGACGCTGCCACCACCACTGGGCTTTGGAAATGGAGTCTGGATAATCGCTGAGATTTTGGAGCATGGGCGGCCGCTTGCTGCTCTCCCCCGTGTACCTAGCGAACACCCACATGGGGTATGTTGCCTTGCCACCTGTACGTGCAAACCGTTATCAGGCGCAGTCACCATCAAGCTATCTGGCTACGCGTATGACCTACGTTCCTGCCGCGCATTCAGCCGGCATAACAGCACCATTGGGCCAAAGCCCCACTCCAGCTCCATCACCTCCTCGGGATGGGGTGAGCGCCCAAGGGTGTCATGCAAAGTGGAGTTGTGAGACCAGTTAGCCTGGTAGCAGACCAGGACACAGCCCTGCAGGCAAACCGTGCAAGTTTAAGGGCTTGCCTGCTAAATTAACATTTTGCATCACGGCGCCTACCTTAAAGGCAGTGCTGTCCTTGACGGCGCGGCCTGTAACCGCCAATGCTTCGCGGGGAATGCCCTCACAGAAGCTGTAGATGTGCGAGGTCGCAGCAAGCCGTGCACGGACCCAGTCCCAAGATCCACCAGCCTCACGGGTCATGTCATGGTGGATAACCTCCATCAAAGTGTCCAGCTGACCCACAGGGGCCGCTAAGCCTGAGGAGGGCACACACGGCAAGCGGCACTCATAGTAAGCATGCCAAGGCTATCGACACCGTCTCCTACCTCCGAACAATTGGCCTAATTCATAGCTTCGGTTCGTACTATTCAGCTAAGAGGCTCAAGGAAGCCACAAGTACCCACCTTTCTTTATTAGGTCGCCGTATACCTGAGGTAGGAATGCAACCGCTTTTTGGATTTTGCTGTCATTGCACTCCGCCATCCACGCCGACGACACGCATGCAGCCACCTTGGCAAACGGGAGCATCCTGGATTCAAAGTGTGTCGAAAGCGGTTCAGTACACCTAACGCATTGATGTGAGGTAGGTATCCCTGTACAACTAACACACCTGCCAATAGCGCCACCCAAGTCGAATACAACGCTGGAGTTTGTCCATGTGAAGGAAGGTGCTCATGCTCTGAAAGGCAAGCTTAATTCCTGCCTTCGTGATAGACCCGCCCATGCCCTCCAGCCCACATGCGCCACCCAGCTTGTCCTCCCACGCCCCGCAGATGTTGTCTACCTCCGTGTACGGCCGATTGGTTACTTTTGACGCCATCGGGAAGGAAAAAGGGTCGTCAGGGTAGGACGACAACGTTAGCGGGAGAGGGGTTGAGGGAAAGAGGAACAACTATTTATGGCAAGGCGCTACACTATTACACTGTTACGCATGGGAGGTTCAAGAATGGAGGGGCGGTGAGGTAGGGGGGTCGCTTAGGAAATCCAGGCCAATATTTGCTTTATGGTATAGCACTACAGCACCACCATCTGCTTACATACCTGCTCTACCATCCCCCTCCACTCCTCCGCCGCCTGCATTAATTGCCATTGCACCCTCGGTGCTTTCCTTGAGTGTCATATCTCCTGGCACTGGATGCACGACAAAGAAAATTATGGATGTGGAGAGCAGCGGGTAGGGGAAGAGGGAGGGGAAGAGGGAGGGGGTGTGTTGAGGGAGCTGATGGCATTCGTTGGAACGGGACGGGGTGTATGGAATAAAAAAAACGGTGGGGTTTGTTCTTAGGCCCTCCTAAGAAGCCCTGCTCTGAGGCGTCCCTCATCCCTGCCCTCCCACCAGGCGCACGTTGCGTCAACTCCTCCCTCGCAAGCCCCCCTCCCCCCGCCCCCTGCCCCATGTGAATCTTTGTCATACAGCTCCCTTACTTTTGAACATCACTGTAATGCCGACATGCATGCTTGCACGTTGAATGGTTCGTGTCCACACGGCCCTAACCCGGCATTCGTCCTTAGACTTACCTGTGCATGCAGCAGAGACTTTGGGTGCACAGGGCGGGAGCTGCTGTTGCTGAGGCTCCAGATTCTCCTCTAGCCCTTGCTGATGCTCTAGCGACGCACCACGTTGCTCTGGAACTGGTAACTGAGCAGGTAGGAATCGTGCAGCTGTCCAGGACCGCAGGAAGTCGTGAGCAGGCACGTGGCGCCTCACTTCTACCCACTTCTCCTGCTCCTTGCTGAAAACTCGGAGGCTCTGCGCCCACGCCCGCCTCCTTGGCAGGCCCATGTCTACGCATACTGAATGCACTGACACTAGGCCTGCCTCTGGGTGCACCCGAATGCTACTGCTTGTAGGCGGCTTCACCCCAAGATCCACGCACATAACCTCAGCAACACTAGCGCTGCGCATTAACAGAACGTATCGGATGGCCTCCTTGCTTGCAATTGTTATGCGGCCTAGGACGGCCTGCTGATTAGACTGATGCTCCCCTGTTTCAGAGAACTGGAGCTCCAACGGTGGTACGTATGGCTGGATGCTGTCATTCTGTGCCAGCACCTGGATAGCCCCTCTTCCGTGGCCAGTGGACCTCATCTCCTTTGCTTTGACTAAACTGGAAGCATGGAGTGCGCGCTCCAACAATTTTAAATTGAGGAAACCGTCACACCCGGTGGCATCAGAGTGAGAATGCGCAAAGTTAACTATGTAAAGGAGAATAGCAACGTTCAGGAGCGAACATATGACGCGTCGTTCCATGCATTAAGCTATGACTGCATAAGTAGAGCACATATACACTTTCGGTGTCCTGCATTTAATGCAATCCACAATTATTTCCTACTGCTGCTGAGTAAGCTGATAACGTTTGCCTATCAGTCTATGGATGAGGCTCCAGGGACAGCACTTGAAGGGAACTCTTCAAGTGCTTTCTTCATGCCCAGTCCTGCCTAAGTTCGGGCAATACTTGATCGTGTAATATAGAAGAATACAATGTTTAGGTACTCCTTATGACAGAGGACTTGCACACGACAAAGGGGCCCCACGGGTCCCGGCCATGGCCAATCGGCCTTGGCGCCGCCTTTGTACTGGTGGCCCTAATCGCCTGCACCGCGTGCATGGTCGGCGAAGGTGCTAAGCGCTGGTGCCTATGCCGTAGCTGTGTAGCCAGTGCCGTTGAGCTTGGTCGAGCTAAGAAGTTAACGGATAGGACCACCCAAACACACGCCAGACAGAATGGTACTTTTGAGGGGAAACTTAAATGGCTTCCCGTGTCTGGTGGACGAGATGCGGATTATTACATTAATCTGTGTAAGATTTATAGCGGCATACCTCAGGAAGGTGTGTATGCTGGGGGTTTGGGCTGCATAAACCAGTGGACGCGCCTTGTTGAGCGCTATAGAAGCCTCACCCATCCCGTTGTCCAATGCAGATATCGAGGAGGGCTCGCCGTCAACATCACCTATGCTCCCAGGAGTCCAAGGGAACGTAGCACCCGCTGCCTCACCCAGCCGTGGCCCGGACGCTAGCCCTAGCCTACTTACTAACAATAGCCCAAGCCTGGTGTTTCAGCCACCTCTCCCACCAGCACCCAGCCCTCCAGACCTTCCCCACGAAGATGACATGGCTGGAGGCACTGCTGATGCCCTTGGGAGTGACTTTGGCGGCCCGCCTAGCTATGTCCCTGGGGAAGGGGATGGTGGCCGGCAGCACCGTTGCTTTGAGCGTATGACCAGGCCGGGTGTGAATTGGAAACAGCAGAATCGTGCATATGATAGGCTTGCGTATGACCTACTCGACATTCTTATCTGGCGTGTTCGCAACCAGTCGACCCAGACAGCCGCAGCCCATCTTACACTTCTCTTGTACAAGAATGGGCAGTATGATGACATCCCACCTGGTGAAAGGCCTGAAACCTTTCGTCACATCCTTACGTTCCTAGAGGATAGGGGGTTGCTAATTGAATGCCGCGTTGTTGACTACGACTACTGCATCAAGTGTGGGCACCTCTACCGGGGCCCTCAGCATGCAAGCCGTGTTTGCCTTAACTGCTCATGTGAACGCAAGCATAACACGAAGGTTTTCGTGTACAGGTATGGATGACCATTACGGTTGGGGGCTATCCAATGGGTTTATAAACTAGTTCGCATGGTTTCATCGTTGACGTCAGCCATCGCCATATGGGTCTGCCGCTTGCTCGCCACACCTCTAGTGCTATGTTCGCGGCAGCAGTCCAACTGCCAACTAAATTGCTAGCTGCCTGTAGTGCGCCCTGGGGTTGCGTAGAGCCCGGCTGCCAGACAGCATGACATTGCGACGTGACAACCTCTGTAACTGACCTGCCCATGGCGTTGGCCCTGTTTGCAGGCCTCTTCATGACTACATTAGGAGAATTTACGCATGTGAGCACTACGCGAAGGCCTTCCGTTATCACGCAAAGACTGCTAAGGAGCGTGGTGTTAAGGAGGGCTATATTTGCGACCTGCTTGATGGGGCTGTGTACTCTGTAGCGCGGAACTCCACGCCTACCGGTGTGCCCCTGGCAGCCACTGACGTCTTGTTTGGATTCTTCTGCGACGGGGTTCAGCCCTTCAAGGAGGACCACAAGTACTCTGTACATCCCCTTGCGTTCACGCCTTACAATTGCAGTCCAGATGTCCGGTAGGTGGAGTGATTGGATTCCCACCTGCTGATTAGCGTATGGGTGTGGCCATTGGGAATTCACCGTTGTTCCTCTTACATCCTTCTTACACCATATCCCCGTCGTCGCCCATAGCCTTAACTGCCCCTACAGCCCGCCCGCCGCCTTGCATACCCTCCTCCACCCGCCTCTGCCCACTCCTTCCATCCTCCACCTTCCAACACCACAACCACTGACCCAACCTTTCTGCCTCCTTTCCTAACCAGCTATCATCCCGGCATCACCACCATTGCTGGCATTGTTCATGGCACCCGCGAGAAGACGGCCCGGATTCACCTGGACTCATATCTGCAGCTGGTCGCGGATGAAATGACCAGCCTGGCCTACCACGGAGTGTCGGTGTACGATGCACACACCAAGCAGGACCTGCTTGTTCGTGCGTACTTGGTGGTTGTTGGGTCAGACTACCGAGGCTTGGAGGAGATGCTCCGTTTTAAAGGGGCCCCTACAGCTCAGTACGGCTGCTACAAGTGCTGGCTCCCTGCTGTGAAGTGCACGCACAAGAATCTGTACGGCGGTACCTTTTGTTTCCTGGGTGCCGATGATAAGCTACGTAGTGCCCTTGCTAAACTTAACACTGGTGCCACCTCAGAATCTAACCGCGCAGCTGGGGAGGGGGAGCCCTTGCCACGCACGCAGCAACATCTCCTTGCACGCATTGAGGTACGACTGCAAAGTACCTAGCACAGCAGAGTTGCTTGTACTATGACCATTGGCTTCTTTATTTTGCAGGAGCCAGCAGGTGATGGCGTAGAGCTGGTGAGTAGGGCTTGAAGTAATGGTTAACAATAGTAGAGGTGGCTTCTGCTTGGCAGTGTCGGAATATGGGCTCGGCTCGGCATACACAACGTTTGTTCTGGCACGCAGGTGTGCCCGGCGGACCACCACTGCCCCTTGCTGAAGGTTCCCGGCTTCCAAACCAAGCATGGCCTGCACTACGACCCTATGCATACTTGCGCCGGTGTCATCAAGGACATCTTCGACTTGGTGCTGACAAGTTCTCGTGTCTCGGTTAGCATCCGCGAGTGAGTTGGCATGGTAACGGGTATGGACGAAATGAGGGTCCGTGAAGAATGGGTGTCATTTAGGACATGAGATAACAGACACGGGAACCTAAGGATGACCCCTGCTGTCTAATACACTCTGCTAGACTTAGCTTGCTGAGGCTCTCCGCGCCCAACTGCAGGTGGGAAGTCAAGGTCAATCGCCGGCGTCAGTGGGGGGAGGGCCATTACCCATGGTGTGTGAGCCGCGATGGTCACGAGGCCATGGCTGACTTTGCAGATGAGCTGTCTAAGCTTCTTCCCGCTCGCAAAGGTGGCGGTGTGAGGCTTCGGGCCATGTTCAAGGGGAGCAAGAAAACCAAAATGGCAACTTATTGCTTCTGGGCCAGCCCGTACGGCACCTATTTGATGGAGGTCAGCGGAATACAGCCAGTGCAACGCCAGACCATTCAGCAGCTTCTATGCGTCATATCCTTCCTTTGCGAGGATGCTGTACAAGCCTCCCCGGTTCCCGAAATTCGGTCTGCTGTTGTTCGGGCTCTCTGCTTGGTAGAGCTGAACCTGCCATGCTGCGAGCTAGATATTAAGCTTCACAACCTTATCCACCTTGCTGAACGCATTCTTGACCTAGGGCCGGCCTATACGACAGCAATGTGGGGGTACGAAGCACTGTGGCGTTATGTCAACATGCTAATGAAGAAGCGTGACACCCCCGAAACATCAGCTATGTTCAGCTGGTGCCACATGGAGGCTGCCCTCTTACTTGATGGCAGTGTTATGGAGCAGCTTGCTTACCGTGACTTCTTACCACGTTTTGATCCTGACGTGGTAGAGGGCTCTATGCACCAACAGCAGCGCGTCTACTGGACGGTAGATAACGAGGATTGCCCTGAGGTGCAGACGTACCCATTTCCCAGTGCCACAACTGGTCTCGTTACCGGCCAGCTCTCAGCTCAGGAGCTGTACGAGCTCCACCTTGCATACATTGAGCGTGATACGCTTTATGAGGCAATGTTCGCGCTGTTCCTACAGTGGCTTTGGGACCAATGGCGGTCGGACAATACCTGCATGTCCGAACCCGTCTTGGTGCAGCTCCAAGGGACCAGGCTAAAGCGGCGGACTGAAGTCCTCCAAAAGAGCCGGGATGGCAAGCTGGCATTCCGGAACCTGGTAAGACTGCGGGGTGGTGAAGGAGGAAGATGGAAACGCACATGTGCTTTAGCTGCATACATCTGGGTGTAGCCTGCTTGCCCTTAACCGTGAGCAGGTTGTCAGGATTTACTTATGAGTGTGATTATAGGGTTTGAGAGGCCCCATGTTCGTGCATGTTTCTTTCCTGGTTTGCCTCCCTGTCGCCATCGTCTCATGGCCCGTTTTCAGCATCTGGAGGCAACGCCTGCCCTTCTACGCATGCAGGGCTTTGCGGCTCGGTGTTTACGGGAGCTCTGGCCCCTATATGACCTGTGGCCCCCGCTTGACAAGGCCGAGGAGGCTTCGGAATGGCGTGAAAAGTACAGCCTGTGTCTTGAAGGGTCCTTCGTGGAGCGCCTGTCACGTATTACCTTAAACGGCAAGGTGGAGCTATCGGCAGACAGCTGGTTTATCACCCGTGCATGCAAGGCAAGCCAGCACATGTGGGCAGGCCGTGTGAGGAACATATTCCGGTACACGTCACCGCTATCCCCCGAAGCTACGGTCTATGACACCATTCTCGAGGTGGAGTGGCACGAGCCTATGGTCACTGGGTCTGGTGATCAGATCGTCGACCCTGGCATGAATGTACCCCTAGTTCACGGCCGTGTCGCCTCGAATGACGCAGCACCAACGCGGTATTACTTTGCTGTTGATGTTGCCCCGGTAGAGGTGCATGTGCTGCCGCACCCGTCTCGTGCAGGCACCATGTGTGTGCTGTCGAAAGATTTCTCTTTCATGCGTGTTGCGGGATGGCAGCCATTGAAGCCCATGAGCGCTTTTGCGGCAGCCAACTAGATTTGCATGCGGTCAAGGCTTTAGCGCTGGAAGACTGGACTCTATCCTCTCAGCAGTTTAGTGCTTTGGACTGAATGGAAACACTTGTAGGTTGCGTATGGCACGTCTGAGCCCAATGCCTGCTTTTGGCGATTGAGGGCTGCTTAGGTTGCGTTCGTTATTAGTCATCGTTGCAGACTGTGTCATGCTACGGCCGCCCCTGCTTTGATTCCTGGCATTGTAGGCATGTAGAGGCCAATGCTAGCCGCGTCCATGCAGGGCTTATCTTCTGAAGGAAACAGTGCAGTGCCTGTGTGGCCATGGCAGATGCCTAGTTTGTGGGGTTAGGGGGCCCTTTGGGCCTCATATTGCCTGAAAAAGAACTGCGGCGTCATGGTTAGCTTGCGAAATGGATGCCTGCTTTTGGCGATTAAGGGCTGTAATGCTTAGGTTGCGTTCGTTATTAGTTGTCGTTGCAGACGGTGTCACGCTATGCTTCAGTTGCGTCACGTCTAGTGCTAAGGTTGTGTCCAGTGTAATGCTTAGGTCGCGTTCATTATTAGTCATCGTTGCAGGCAGTGTCATGCTACGTCCGCCCCTGCTTTGAATCCTGGCATTGTAGGCATGTAGAGCTCAATGCTAGCCGCGTCCATGCAGGGCTTATCTTCTGAAGGAAACGGTGCAGTGCCTGTGTGGCCATGGCTGATGCCTAGTTTGTGGGGTTAGGGGGCCCTTTGGGCCTCATATTGCCTGAAAAAGAACTGCGGCGTCATGGTTAGCTTGCGAAATGGATGCCTGCTTTTGGTGATTAAGGGCTGTAATGCTTAGGTTGCGTTCGTTATTAGTTGTCGTTGCAGACGGTGTCACGCTATGCTTCAGTTGCGTCACGTCTAGTGCTAAGGTTGTGTCCAGTGTAATGCTTAGGTTGCGTTCATTATTAGTCATCGTTGCAGGCAGTGTCATGCTACGTCCGCCCCTGCTTTGAATCCTGGCATTGTAGGCATGTAGAGCTCAATGCTAGCCGCGTCCATGCAGGGCTTATCTTCTGAAGGAAACGGTGCAGTGCCTGTGTGGCCATGGCAGATGCCTAGTTTGTGGGGTTAGGGGGCCCTTTGGGCCTCATATTGCCTGAAAAAGAACTGCGGTGTCATGGTTAGCTTGCGAAATGGATGCCTGCTTTTTGCGATTAAGGGCTGTAATGCTTAGGTTGCGTTCGTTATTAGTTGTCGTTGCAGACGGTGTCACGCTATGCTTCAGTTGCGTCACGTCTAGTGCTAAGGTTGTGTCCAGTGTAATGCTTAGGTCGCGTTCATTATTAGTCATCGTTGCAGGCAGTGTCATGCTACGTCCGCCCCTGCTTTGAATCCTGGCATGTAGAGCTCAATGCTAGCCGCGTCCATGCAGGGCTTATCTTCTGAAGGAAACGGTGCAGTGCCTGTGTGGCCATGGCTGATGCCTAGTTTGTGTGGGTTAGGGGGCCCTTTGGGCCTCATATTGCCTGAAAATGAACTGCGGCGTTATGGTTAGCTTGCGATATGGATGCCTGTTTTTTGCGCTTGAGGGATGTATTGTATCCCCAGCGAGGTCGTGCGGAGAACTGGAACGGTTGTACGGACAGGGAGGGCAGTCGGTACGGCAATCCCATGCATGCTTAGGTTGCGTTACGTCTAGTGCTAAGGTTGTGTCCAGTGTATTGCTTAGATTGCGGTCGGTATAAGTTGGAACTTGTGCACACGTCCTCATGCTACGGCCGCCCCAGCTTTGGGTGATTGATACGGCATGTAGAGCCCGATGCTAGCCACGTCCTTGAATGGCTTATCTTCGTTCTGAAGGAAACGGTACAGTGTCTGTGTGGCCATGGCAGATGCCTAGTTCGTGAGGTTAGGGGGCCATTCGGGCTTCACATTGTGTGAAAAAGGACTGTGGCCTCATGGTTAGTTTGCAATCTGGATGCTTGCTTTCAGCGCTTGAGGGATGTATAAATAAACTGGTGGAAGTTATTCAGGCCTCACTTGTGGCGGGAGCCAATCCTGGCCTAGGGGTCGCATAACTTGTGCGAAGTGCCCAATCACAAGAAGTAAGCGATGCTTTCGTTAACAGCAATCGGCCATAATTAGACAGAGAGCCTGTTGTTCTTGCGTTCTCGGTTCGGATGTACGGCGTACACGCTCCACCAAGGGATGTGGCTCTCTTATCAAACATCCTCAAGATAAAGGTGTAAAGATAAAGGCGATTCATTCACACATAAATAGTTGACTTCATAGGATTCGTTGTGCACACCCTACGGAACTTGACCAGCTGTTTTCCTGTAGCATGTGAGCCATTTCAGTAACCTATACGCATATAAGAGCTGTTTAGGAAGTAGGCATGGATTGTCTTCCAACGTCGTTTGAAGTTTGTGTTACTCGTTCACGGAAGGCCGCTGTCAACGCTCAGGATAGGTTAAACGACTACATTAAAGCAAAGTCCTTGGTTTGCGTCGAGCTATATCGGACGGCTGTCTTTATATCAAGCCAGAGGAGGGGAACGACTCTCCAATTTGAAGGCTGGCAGGCAGATGTCCCCGGCAATGCCAGCCCAAGCACTCTATACAATCTAAAATTTAAAAAGAAGGGCTTTGAGGTAAGCTGCGGACACGAAAACGTTGGTCGATGCGACAATAGGGATGCTAACGTCTTCTTTCACAGGAATGCTCCTTGGTGGAGCTCCTAGGGTCCCAAATCAGCAACCTCGATTCCTTTAGATCCGTTCTCCACAAGGGCGCAGACGTGTTTGTGCAAAAATGTTTGGAAGACAAAGGAATTTACTCCCCATCAGCTCAGCTGAACTACGTAACCTACCTTGCGGAGGTGACACGTCCAAGGGGTCATGAGATAGGCACTGCAGGTGGCTATTTCTGGCTACAGAAACCCTGGCTCAAGAAAAAGAAGGTGAGTGGTAGCACCAGAGTCCAAGACATGCATGCAAAGCACCAGGCTCACAAGTGTATGCCTACCAGGAGCTGGAGAATGCTTTTGCAGCAGGCAGCCAGACAGCTCAGGCAGTCAGCAGTGTTCAGAATAGGCGTTTTATTCCCACAGCTTCGCGCACTCTTCAGGCGCAAACTGGCCTAGGCTCACTGGGTGGTGCCTCCAGCAGTATGCACGTTGCAGCGGCTGCACCCTCCACACGATTGGTGCCTTGGCAAGCCTCGGGGCACAACACCTTGGCCAGTGAGGCAAGCCCCAGCCAACGTACAGCTGGCCTAAGCAGCTGCACAAGCCCTGTACTGTTAAGTGAGGTGGGTGCGTTGAAGAATGAACACTGACAGCCCTGCCGGCAAGATAATATTTTGGGTAAATGGTGTATGACATGCTATACATCCCTCTCAGGAAGCACAAGGCTCCGCCGAGGGAGACTGGGGGGCTGATCTCCAGGGCCAGCGGTTAATGAGCTTATTTGAGATGGAGCCAGATGAAGAACGCCTTGGCGATAGGGAGGCCTCGCCACTCACCAGAAGTCCCAGCTGGGAGGTGAGTGCAGCCGCTGCACGGCCATTCAGACCGCAAGCTAAGAAGCGTGCGCATATCGGCGTGCATCTGCAACAGGCCCGTTGCCTGTTGTGTCGCATGCACGGGCTGCACCGCATGTCCCCAACACTGGCCGAACCCTCAGTCTCCAACCTCTGTTGCTCACTACACACGCTCTACACCACCTCACCCCTGTCCCAGGTTCCTTGCCCCTCGCCACTTCCGCAGCCGCAGGCCCTCTCGCCTGGCTGGACTCATTAAAAGCCGTTGAAAAGGCGTTGCAGGCAACTCGTCCGCCAGGAGTCCCCGCTCAGAGGTCAGCATGCCGGCGTTGCATGCAGCACTTGACGGTGGCCCGACGTTGGGCATTTCGAGGCAGCTCATTTTGCGTGCTGTCAACAGGATTGCACGCTCCCTTCTCCCGCCCCTGTCCCGCGTTCCTTTCCCCCCGCAGGCCTCCCCTCGCGCGGATGGACTTCTCAGCGGCAGTCCTCAGGGCGGTGCAGGCAACTCGACGGCAAGGAGTCCCCGCTCAGAGGTAAGCATGCCAGCCTCGCATGCATGCAGCATTTGACGGTGGCTCGACGTTGGGGATTTCGGGGCAGCTCCTTTTTCTTGCTGTCAACAGGATTGCACGCTCCCTTCTCCACCCGCCCCTGTCCCGTGTTCCTTGCCCCCCGCAGGCCTCCCCTCGCGCGGGTGGACTCCTTAGTGGCCGTTCGCAGGGCGGTGCAGGCAACTCGTCGGCAAGGAGTCCCCGCTCAGAGGTAAGCATGCCAGCCTCGCACGCATGCAGCACTTGACGGTGGCCCGACGTTGGGCATTTCGAGGCAGCTCCTTTTGCGTGCTCCCTTCTCCACCCGCCCCTGTCCCGTGTTCCTTTCCCCCCGCAGGCCTCCCCTCGCGCGAATGGACTTCTCAGCGGCAGTCCTCAGGGCGGTGCAGGCAACTCGACGGCAAGGAGTCCCCGCTCAGAGGTAAGCATGCCAGTTGACGGTGGCTCAACGTTGGACATTTCCGGGCAGCTCCTTTTGCCTGCGTCAGATAAACGGGTAGCTCTGCGTTGACCGGTGCCATACGCCTCCGTTCCTCTGATTGCCGCACGTCTCTTACCTGTACTGTAGCATGCTGGGCTAAATCGTATGTCGTTAGCACTGGCCGAACTCTCCGTCTCCCACTTCCATTGCTCACCGCGCGCGCCCTCACCCATCCGCCCCTGCGAGGATTTCAAGCGCCCTCACCCATCCGCCCCTGCACAGATGACGCGCTCCCTCCCCCTCCCGCACCTGCTCCGCGTTCCTTGCCCCCCGCAGGCCCCCCCTCGCGCGGATGGACTCCTTAGCGGCAGTCCTCAGGGCGGTGCAGGCAACTCGTCCGCCAGGAGTCCCCGCTCAGAGGTAAGCATGCCAGCCTCGCATGCATGCAGCACTTGACGGTGGCCCGACGTTGGGCATTTCGAGGCAGCTCCTTTTGTGTGCTGTCAACAGGATTACATGTTCCCTTCTCCACCCGCCCCTGTCCTGCGTTCCTTGACCCCCGCAGGCCTCCCCTCGCGCGGATGGACTCCTTAGTGGCCGTTCGCAGGGCAGTGCAGGCAACTCGTCGGCCAGGAGTCCCCGCTCAGAGGTAAGCATGCCAGCCTCGCATGCATGCAGCACTTGACGGTGGCCCGACGTTGGGCATTTCGAGGCAGCTCCTTTTGCGTGCTGTCAACAGGATTGCACGCTTCCTTCTCCACCCGCCCCTGTCCCGCGTTCCTTGCCCCCCACAACTACAGCACCAGCAGGCCCCCCCTCGCGCGGATGGACTCCTTAGTGGCCGTTCGCAGGGCGGTGCAGGCAACTCGTCGGCCAGGAGTCCCCGCTCAGAGGTAAGCATGCCAGCCTCGCATGCATGCAGCATTTGACGGTGGCTCGACGTTGGGGATTTCGGGGCAGCTCCTTTTGCTTGCTATCAACAGGATTGCACGCTCCCTTCTCCACCCGCCCCTGTCCCGCGTTCCTTGCCCCCCGCAGGCCTCCCCTCGCGCCGATGGACTCCTTAGCGGCAGTCCTCAGGGCGGTGCAGGCAACTCGTCGGCCAGGAGTCCCCGCTCAGAGGTAAGCATGCCAGCCTCGCATGCATGCAGCACTTGACGGTGGCTCGACGTTGGGCATTTCGGGGCAGCTCCTTTTGCCTGCGTCAGATAAACGGGTAGCTCTGCGTTGACCGGTGCCATACGGTTGCTCACTGCACGCGCCCTCACCCATCCGCCCCTGCAAGGTTTTCAAGCGACCTCACCCATCCGCCCATGCACGGATTACGCGCTCCCTTCTCCACCCGCCCCTGTCCCGCGTTCCTTGCCCCCCGCAGGCCTCCCCTCGCGCCGATGGACTCCTTAGCGGCAGTCCTCAGGGCGGTGCAGGCAACTCGTCGGCCAGGAGTCCCCGCTCAGAGGTAAGCATGCCAGCCTCGCATGCATGCAGCACTTGACGGTGGCTCGACGTTGGGCATTTCGGGGCAGCTCCTTTTGCCTGCGTCAGATAAACGGGTAGCTCTGCGTTGACCGGTGCCATACGCCTCCGTTCCTCTGATTGCCGCACGTCCCTTACCTGTATTGTAGCATGCTGGGCTGAATCGTATGTCCCCAACACTGGCCGAACTCTCCGTCTCCCACCTCTGTTGCTCACTGCACGCGCCCTCACCCATCCGCCCCTGCAAGGATTACACGCTCCCTTCCCCACCTGCTCGTGTCCCTGCGTTCTCCCGCGTCACGCTCCCTTCCCCACCGCCCCTGCAACTACCGCCTCCCGCTCCTACCGGGCGCAGGCCTCCCCTCGTTCAGCTGCCGCTTTTGGCGGCTGCAAGCGGCCTGTACCTATGCTGTCACTGGTAAGGGGTGTTGTCATAGGAGGCTTTCCCATGCTGTTTGCGTGTTGGCAACTCTCACACGTACACGGTTGTACCTACAGGGGACCGAGCACAAACTCCAAGGCGGGGGTTTGCGCTACCATGGCGGCCGTCCGCATAACAAGAAGGCTAAGCGGCAATGTGTTCCGGCAAAAGGCCCTTCTGTTGACACCGCAATGGAGGAGGCTCTCGACGAGGTTGAGGAGGTGTGTGATATGCAGTTGGGCATCTGTGCACTAATGAGACGATTAGCTATTAACTCGTATATGTATTTTGGAATCTTGCTTGCTTAGGGAATAGGGGGGGGGGGGGGGGTTGGTGCAGCTCCATGATGCAAAAGAGAACCCTTGACCTTTGGGCCCTTTTCCTTGCCGCACCACTCAGATCACGACCATTAGCAAGCTGGTATTCACCGTCGACTCCCCCGCTGCTGTCCCAAAAGCCATTAACGATTCTGGCGTTGCCATCCTCCATGACTCGGACATCTGCAAGACAGTCACCCCTGAAGCAGTTGAGCGAGCATTGCAACACGGGAGAAAGTCTGAAGCCATCTTCCAGGGCATTGCGCAAAAGCGGAATGGGGAGTTCGTGCCGGAGCGCGACCACAAGGGGAAACCCACTGGCTATCTGATGTCCACGTACGGATCTCGACAGCGGCAGCAGTGCCCTATCGACCCTGACAACCCTGACGATGCCGATGTGCTGGCAGATTTCCGCGGTAGGCATGGGGAAACCCGTGCTATGCATGGGAAAAACCGTGGTTTGTATGCATGTGCGGGTAAATAGTTTGCTGGAACATCTTAGCCTGCCGTCCAGACTTCTTGAGTTGCTGTATCCTCGAGTCGCACTTCGTATTGGCTCACACCCTTTTCATCATTCCCTTTGCACGTTGCCAGGTCTGGTGGAGCCCAAGATCAAGGAGGCTATGGCAGGAATGGGTGATGCCAACCTCAAGCTCTACCCTCCCAGCATCCTGCTAAATACCCAATCCGAGAGGCAAAAGCCTGTGGCACGACAGGGCAACCACACGGACCTGGCTAAAGGGCAAAAGGGCGGTGTTGTAATAGCGGCGGTGCAGAAGATGCGGCTCCTGCTGTACCCAGACAGCAACCGCGTGCTGGCACGGTATTGGCAGCTGGAGGAGCTCGTTGACAGCGGCGTGATTACGGAGGAGGACTTGCTGGCGTGGGTCCAGATGCGCAAGTTCAAAGCAGTTAGGGTAGAGCTTGACGCTGGCGACATCATCTTCCTAGATGGCCATACAGTGCATGCGGGTGACTGCGGTATGGACGACTACCCTTCACTCCGTCTACACTGGTACTTCCTGGACGGCCAGAAGGAGAACGAGACCACGCACCTTATCGTGTATGGTGACGCCTTTGCTGCGCAGTTTGGATAGTACAGGAGCAGAGCCACTGCTGGGCACTTTTGTCGACGGTGGCCCATGGGGCATACAAGGGCGGGGGTCGTTGACATGCATCTCTGCAGCTTTTTGCTACTATGTTGGGTACCGGGACCTGTGCATTTGCGGGTGATAAAGGCAGCGTATGTTAACATGACGGGAGGGCAAGCATGTGAAAGTTAACGTCGTGACTTAGTTATGGTTTTCCAGGCCTGTGGCTTTGGTCAATTGATGAGCAACAGGCTCCTTTCCAGCCCTCCTAGCACATTGTGTTTCGTGCCGTTTATATGTTATGGCTTTCTGTTGTTGCTGTCCACCTACGCTTTGCTTGTTGCGACGGGTATGGCAGCCTTGCGTGCAATGTGATACACAGTCGAGGGTTCCGAAGATGTGGACACTTGTGACGGTGGCCCATGGGACATACCGGGGCGGGGGTCGTTGACATGCATCTCTGCAGCTTTTTACTTCCATGTTGGGTACGGGGCCTGTGCATTTGCGGTGGTAAAGGCAGCGTATGATAACGTGACGGGAGGGCAAGCATGTGGAAGTTGCCGTTGTGACTTAGTTATGATTTTCCAGGCCTGTGGCTTTGGTCGATTGATGACCAGCAGGCTCCTTTCCAGCCCTCCAAGCACATTGTGTTTCGTGCCGTTTATATGTTATGGCTCTCTGTTGTTGCTGTCCACCTACGCTTTGCTTGTTGCGACGGGTATGGCAGCCTTGCGTGCAATGTGATACACAGTCGAGGGTTCCGAGGATGTGAACACTTGTGCTTCTACAGGGGGCGCTCCGACAGGTGGGCTGTATCGGCATGTAGCATTGTCGCTATGTGCGAGGCCGTGTTGAGTTCATTGGTAGCCTTCTCATCGGGGGTAGCATGCCGGACTGTCCAATTTTACAGAACCCTGAGGGAATTCCTGTCACTAAAGCCCCGCTCGTTTGCTGGTTGAAGTTTTGTTTGGCTAAACATTGTTGGCGCCTCTAAATAGGGTGCCAAAAGCCTGGATGGAGTGCGCACTCCACATGCCTTGTTCTCGATCCTTCCACGTACTCCTAGTTGTTCAGGCGCTCAATGAGGGCCCTCACACAATTAAAGATTCCAAGTCCACAGGACACGTCTTGTTCGGATAAAGCGCTTTCCGTACAAGGTTACTTTCCACCATATTGAACCACATCAGCTGCTCTCCTTGGCTCATTAGGATGATTCCCATCTTTGTAACATTGAGTATAAAGCTGCATACCAGGCTTGTTTACACGTTCGTCGTCTCAACAGTCGTCCAACCTCCTTTCGGGCTGCTTGCCAGCATCTTTCACTCACTTGATTACCTCAACTCATTCAGCATTGATGGCAGCGCTTATCGCAGCGCCCAAACATACTCTTTTCCTGAGACACGGGTTTACAGCATTATGTCAGAATACCAAAACGTGTGATAGCTTCCATAGCGGCAATGCTGAAAATGCCAAGAAGCCTGCTCTTACGCTCCACGGCACATGCCAGGGCACAAAGGGCGGCCAGACATCCTGCCCGCCATGTTACCTTTGCCCGCATGAAGCCTGCCGTGAGCAGTGGAGCCGGGTTGGAACTAAAACCCCGTTTTGCTCAAATGCCTGCCTTGCGGCGCATTTCAAGATTCACCATGGGTTCGACGCCTCGGCCCTGGTAGAGTACCTGTCTCCCGAGTACGCCGCCTTGATGTATGCAGACCTTGTCGACTTTATGAACGGTGAGGGTTTGTATGTTGCGGTGTATCATTAGGTTACAGTTTAACACTGCTCCCTACAACTTGCAACCCTGACAGACCCCGCTTGGAAGGGGAAGGGGACCCCTTCCAAGTACGAGGAGTACTTCAACAGCTTGATGGAAGCCATTGCGGAGAAGTACCCAAACACGCAGCAGCTGGCGGGCGCACATGACAGGTGAGACTGGCTGGAAGGTACTGCGGCACACGGAATGGGTCAGGGACGGCTGGTCGAGGCAGGGATACACATGCATGTGGCGAATGAGAGCTGGGGCCGGTCAATACCTGCCCCCTTATCTCAGTCACATTCCTTACGATCACAACGCTTTCCCATCCATACCTAACCGTGAGAACATCACCTGGCCCTTTTGGCTCTTCACAGGATGTCCAGCGCTGTACTGGACGAGCTGGGACTGCCATGCCACACGCCGGGTCCGTTGCTACCACCGTATACGGTAGATGACCCCCTCAGCCACCTCCGCAGGATGGTCGCCGAGAACACCCTCCAGGCGCATGTCCATACACTCCGGAAGGAGGTATCCGACGTGGACCAGGCAGCGGCTGATAGCCTGAAGCAGGATGCGGTGGCTGTCGCCACTGCAGCTGCCTGGTACCTTGGCGGGCGTGAGGGCACCTTGGGCTTGATGAACGTTCCCTCCGCAACGAGCTACACCAATTCAGCCGGGGGCAATACCACGTTTACATGCCAAACCTGCCATAGTCTCCTGAACTTCACTGCTTATGGGGTGCTTCCTGCCGGTAAGCCGCTGATGCATGGCCCTGGCCCTTATCATAGTCGCAAAGACGGATGCATATGTTACCTGGGGCATGAGGACACGTCAATGCGAACCCCTGATCTCCGCGTTATGGGGCGTGCCTGCGTGGTTGTTCATGCTCTTAGACCCCATCCAGCACGGATGGTCATGACAGAAAAGCTCGTGGCTGAGAAAGTATCTATTTTTCGTGCCTGCGAGCTGCACTTAAATCACTACTGAGGTTGCCTACCGCATTGCCCTGCGAAAAACGGCGACCCCTACAGGTGAAGCAAGCAAGTTAAAGGAGTCTTTCCCTGAGTTCTACTGCACCCGTGGTTGCCTGCCTCCGCGCCACATGGACTCTGCAAAGCTCTACCGCCTTCTTGGTAAGTCGTCCTAGTAAGGGCTCAAATGCGAGGATGTAGCCTACAGGGGGTACAGGGAATGTGGGCATATTGCGTGTCGTCTGCCTCTTTTTAGGGGACGCTTTAATCTGAATGGGAGGTTGCCCAAAGGGAGCTCCGTCAGGCACGTTGGGGATTGGATAACCTCCGTCCGGCACGTTGGGGACAGGGAAGGGCAAGGGCTTGCTGCATGGGTATCCTGCCAGCGTTTCACCAAACCGTCGCCAACTATGGCTGCAGAGATGGAGACGTGCCAACAAGCCTACAAGCTCGTAAATTGGCTGCACGTCGAGGGCATGCCACCATACATACCTTTGAGCTCAACCAACCCGTACAAGACGACACTCACACAACAGCTGCCCAGTGGTCAGCTTGACCGCCTCGACCCGCCCTTCGACGTGCAGACAGGGAGGCCGCCGCTGGTTACTAAGGCAAGTGCTTGGCCATCCCAAACACAGAGCAGGGCGGGTGGGTGCACAGCGGCGCTTGATTGTTACTTGGTATCTATCATGGACACAGGGAAGAAGAGCCGTAGGGTGACATGGATGCAACTACTTGTAGCCTTGCTCTATGTGAAGCTGGCCGTGGTATTCGTGCATGCAGGACTGGCTTACGGCAGAGCTTGGGCGCAACCATGCCTGCACAGGTCTTACAAGTGTGGAGAACTGCGTTGCAGCAGTGTTCGCACCCAAGAACAAGTCATACCGCCTTGTCAATCTGAACGTGAGTGGCCGGATGGACCAATGACTTGTTACCACATCAATGGATGAGGAGCTAGCTTTAGTGGTGAAGCACTGCCGTATATACCCCATGCCAGTTTCGCCTTCTTTTCTGATTGCTGTGCTGTTCGCAACAGCCGATACCACCGCCAAGTGTGCACGGTATGTCTCCCTATAACTACCGGCCGTTCCTATGCAGGTCCCCAGCGGCTCTAGCTCCTGGCTTTACGACATCCGGGTTGCGGCAGTCAACCCCGGGGACTTCTTGGGCACGTCATCCAACGTCAATTTGCGGGACAGCACCCTGGTGCTGTGTGGGGCGAAAGGCAAGTCACCATGGATGTGGGTACGAAACGGGGTTTAGGGGCCAATGGAGGCCAGCAGGCTTGCCAATCTGCATGGAGGGCGCGTTTCACAGTTCGTGGTACACACTCCGCAAGCATCATGGCTTAAGTGGTGTCCTTTGCCCCGTACAGGTACGGGAACGGCGTGCCACATGGACCGCACGGAGGCGTTCAACGTGTTGTTCGCCCCTGAGCGGGAGGACGTGGATGCGTCAAAGCCGTGCGCGCTGTGGACATTTGTACGCCCAAGTGCCATTGGGGCGTTTGGTGATTTCCTCAGCAAGCACCCTGCATCGCCCGGCGTCGACAAAAGCGCAAAGAAGGACAAGAAGGACAGCAGTGTCGTCGAGTGGGAACTACTGGCTGCAGCAACCTTGAAGGAGAAACGGCTGTCACCTGATGGCTCCCGCAATGCATTTCACGGTGGGCCTCTTGTGGATGGGGGCAGTGCGAACGTGTTCCGGCCATTCGTGCGTGACGTGAACGAGTTGAGGGCGGCTCTAGGGGAGAATAACGTGGTGGTGATTGAGCAGTACCATGGTGATGTCGTGCACGTGCCGGCAGGATGGATACATCAGGTGGAAAACGTGCAGGCCTGCCTGAAGCTTGCCTGGGATACTCTCAACCCCCGGCGTTTGGTGCATTACTTTGGAGTGCAACGCCTGGTGGTGCACCACGGGCTGTGGGGCTATAGCCCTGAAGACTACATGGCGATAGAGGCTGTACTTGCAAAGGCCATTCCAGAGATCATGAGGCATGTCCAATCAAAGTGAGGGGTGTAGGTACTTTGCACTGTCAAAGGGCCCCGTGGACAGCACAATCGCTTGTAGGTAATTGTGTGGGTGTTGTTTGGGATGTACAGACGCAGTCTTAGGCTTAGCTTTACTCCGGGTGCCTGCTGCATCCGATTGGCAGCGGGTGCGTTGGGATGGGAGGGGACTGCTGTACGGACCGGAAAGGTGGCGTTCTCAAGGCTGCAGCCAGCTAGGGGGCTGCAGGCTTAGCTTTTCACCGGGTGACTGCTTTTCCTTTAAGAATGCTGGCAGCGTTTGCGTTGTGATGGGAGGGGACTGCTCGCCGTACGGACTGGAAGGGTGGAGTCGGACTGGAAGGGTGGAATCCTCAAGGCTTTAGGGCTGAATTGTAACTGCTGGGTTTTATTGCTAAAGCGTGCGCGTGTGTTTGCTGCAAGAATGCTGGCAGCGTTTGCGTTGTGATGGGAGGGGACTGCTTGCCATACGGACTGGAAGGGTGGAGTCCTCAAGGCTTTAGGGCTGAATTGTAACTGCTGGGTTTTATTGCTAAAGCTTGCGCGTGTGTTTCCCTCGGTAATACGGCGTCGTATACCTAGGTCTACATTTTAAAATGTTCGCACTAAGCCATACGAACAACATGCTTTGCCTGACGTGCGCTGAGGGTGTCATGCAGACGCGTCGTGCACAAAGGCGCATGTGAGTTCGGGGATTAGGCGGGCGGGGGCCATGAGTGAGGGCTGCGAGTATGCACCGGCTAGTGTGTTATGTCAATGCGGTGTGTTCCAGACGGTTGCAAACCCAATACCAATGTAGTTTGTTACACTGACAGCATTCGATTTGCCTATGGCAAGGCCTTAATTGCGCTGATTAGCAGACTGCAGTGCGACCGCAATGGTCACTGTTGAAAGCCGGGAGCGCGCACTCCACGAACAGCGCCATGAAAACTATGACTATGCTGTATTAACCAGCAGCTGCTGAGCATTTCAGAGGCTTTCGTATGCAAATGCGCCACACTGAGCATACTGTCTGTAACAGGGTGTGCCGGATTGCATCCTTCCATGCTGTGCACAAGATTGTAAGTCAAGATCAGTTTGGCAGTAAATAGAAACATCAGATGTAACCTCTGATATGCTTAATGGGGGCTTAGTGGACCTCGTTGCTTACTTGAAGCCTTCCCTTCAACCACTCCGTACTGTAATGGCTATGATGCCTTTGGCAATTCCTGAACTTGTGCTCGCCGATTGTTATAGAAACATTCGATTAGACTTACAATACAAGAACGTGTAGGCCAATTGTGTAGCGAATGGGCCCCTCTGACCTGGACGCGGAGCGTGAAGCGACCATGGCTAGGAACAATGCCATTCTGGACGAGATTGGCTTAGGAAATGCCTGCAAGGAGTTCAAGGATGCTGCGGCTAAACTTAGGCCAGTGTCGGGCAAGAAGCGGCAACAAAGCACTAAAGGTCCGCCACTCCGCAAGTCTTCCCGTCTGGAGGGGCGACCCCAGCCAGGCAACGACCAGGAAGTTAGCGACGAAGATGAGGAGAATGAGGCTGCTGTAAGCCTGGATTCTGAGGAGGAGAAGAACGGGACGGTAAGCAATTGACCTCGTTTGACCGTGGCAATTCGTTCATAATCAGCCACATTTCGTTGAAAATAGCATGTAACTTTCAGGTAACGGACGGCGACGAGGCACCTGAGCTGTGGTCGGATGAGCAGGAGGGCTGGGCAACCGGTCAAGGATGGAATCTCGAGGATGGACCCGGCGAGCTGCTTCACAGGCTGGCGTTGTTCCAGGTCATCGGCATTAGAATGGATCAGCGCGAGTCCTTCTTGCGGTGGTACAAGAACTCGCGGATTATGACTGTCGAGGGCATTACCGCTCAAGACCTGAAGATGCCATGCGCCTTCACGACTATGTTTGATGCGGGGATACAAGAGCGCCTCACGCAGGTGAGATGCTAAGTATGTAGGAGGATGCTCCGTTCTATAGATATATTAATCCGTGCATGGATAGATAGCAAGTAGGAATGACCCGTGGGTTATTTTTCTTGTAATGACTGTTAGTTCCGACCATTCCCTCTCCTGCTTCCCATGTATGGCCCCATAGGTAGGCATGTCGCTTTTCGACGTGAAGAAGGTGGAGAAGGCGATGGAGGAGGCGGCGAAGGCGGCGAAGGAGGCAGCGAAGCTGCTCGAGGCACCCAAATCACGAAAGTCGGGCTCGTTGCCAACACCAGGCGGCCCCTCCCTCGGGTCGTCCTCTGCTAACCAGCGGCAGGGAAAACGTACCAGCGAGAAGGTGACCAAGAAGATTGAGAGCGTGTACGGGCAGGCTGTGTTGGCGAGCCGGGAGGCCTTCAAGAGCCTGGAGGTAAGTTACGATTTGGGAGGGCTGTACGGACCTTTCCTGTGGCTTCACTCATTAACACCTGCAACATAAAAGCGCTGTGGTTGTACGTTTGGATTGCCGACCTTTACCATGTGGCAACTTTGTTACACGCTGCCCCCCCCCCCCGGCACACACAGCCCTCGGTGATGGAGGCAAACGACTTGAAGATCATCAAAGACATGGGGGAGCACATCCGGTGCCTGCTGGGCGTGGGACAAGGTGCGCCCATGGAGACAGTGAAGGCCAGGCTGCGGCAGGCGGTGCAAGTGAAGGCTAAGAACATGCGCCGATGCAGCAAGCCAAGTGAGTTTTGCAAGGGAAATCAAGGGGCATATGTCCTACCTTTAAGCGGGTTTTACCTTTCATGACACACACGCCTTATTGCGGCCTGTTTTACGTTGTTACACGTTGTTTCCCCGCCCTTGCCGAACCCATGTCTCCTTCCATCCCTCCCGTTATAGAAGACGTGAACCTGGACACGGTCGATGAGGAGGAAGGCCTGCAGCCGGCATCACCATCAGCACCGGGTGAGGAGGAGGAGCCAGCCACGCCCGAGGTGCCCAAGCCGTACATGTGGGCTAAGCTGCCTGGAGGGGACACGGAGAAGTACGCTGCGGCTGACAACCACCTCGACTGGCTGGCGGACTTCGACATAGGGGACAACGCAGGGTGCATCCTTGTGGGAAGCCTGGACAAGGACGAGTTGGTTCCGGTAACACTTGGCTGCGGCCTGCTGCTGGACCCACTGGTAAGTAGCCTTGCTGGGCTTTTACATCTGTGTCGTTACGTTCTGGCTGGTGCCGCAAGTATGCTGCACCCCCTTGAGCTCATCTCTTGCAACAGTCGCATACCTTCTGTCCTGGCAACCCCATGCGCAAAACCAAGGTTTGTTCGATTGTATGTTCCCGCACTGACGTGTTAGGACGCCAAGACCGACCCGGCGGCTACCGTTGACGTCCTGGTCTTTGGCATCAACACTAACGTCAAGCGCACCAAGAACGCTTACATGCCGTCCAGTGTGGGCGGCAAGACTAGCACCTTTGCGCTGGAGGAGAAGGACAAAGACGGCAAGCTGGTACGCAAGCTTGCAAGGTCCCAGACGGTAAGCTGTAGGGGGTATCGTTGACGTCCTAGGACCCAGGGTGTGTGTTAAAATAACCCGCCAGTGCTCACCCTTCAATCTCTTCGCAACTGTTGTCTTCCAACCCAAGAACCGAGCAATCCATTTAGGTCTTATTGCAAGCAATTGCCTAACTTTCATCTTATCTTGTCCTTACCGTGTCATGCAGGTCAAGTGGCCTGTCATGGGCATCCTGCCCACATTCAATGGTAGCACCGGCATAACGGTGTCCATGACTTTCTACGGGACTCGCGAGAAGGACATCGCCACCATCAAGACGTGCCTAGCGCAGAAGCGGCAGGCACGCGCTGTTGAGGGGAAGTAGTAGAATGCGTAGGCTTGTGTGGCGTACAGCGTCCTTGGTTTTACCCCTTTACTCCCTGGACGGATGGCCACATAGTGAGGATCATAATACGACTCTGAGATGCACAAAGGAAGCACACCGGTGCATGGCATGGGGAAGGCATCTGGACCAACGAGACAGCGTATTGCCTGTTGTGACCATGTGCGTTGCAGATGGATGCTTTGCGTTAAACAGACTGTACCTATGTGTTTCACATCATGCCGTCGAAATGACAATTCGGCCCAGGTGCATAGGGCATAGCGTGGGGGAGCGTGTTGTGTTCAGTTGCATTACCGCATAGCATTACGTTAGGGCACCCGTTTTTACCAACACACATGTTGCTTCATGTTGGAGACTCAGTAATTGGCTTTGGAGTTGCTTGGTGGCAGAGTGAAGGAGCTAACCTGTCATACGGCATATATATTCCTCTACTTGTTTTGGATGTTAACTGGGCAGGCCCTCATCTGGGGCGTAGTGCCAACACCTGAAGAATGACGAAATCAAAGAAGAGCATAAGAGCCCTAACTTCTTGCTTGTTGTGAATGAATGGTTGACAGTTACAATAGTTCGTGTTGTGTCCTTCTGTCATGGTGCTGCCAAGCAGCATTCAACCGTCAACTGGGCTCCTCATTGGCCCTTTTTAACCTGACGACCCCTGTTTACCTAATCAGTCAGCACACGGGCTCCCAGCTAATCCCTTTTTATCTAATCCGTCAGCACTCGTGCACGGCTCCCAGCTAATCCCTTTTTATCTAATCCGTCAGCACTCGTGCACGGCTCCCAGCTAATCCCTTTTTATCTAATCCGTCAGCACTCGTGCACGGCTCCCAGCTAATCCCTTTTTATCTAAGCCGTCAGCACCCGTGCACGGCTCCCATCTAATCCCTTTTTATCTAAGCCGTCAGCACCCGTGCACGGCTCCCATCTAATCCCTTTTTATCTAAGCCGTCAGCACCCGTGCATGGCTCCCAGCTAATCCCTTTTTATCTAAGCCGTCAGCACTCGTGCACGGCTCCCAGCTAATCCCTTTTTATCTAATCCGTCAGCACCCGTGCACGGCTCCCAGCTAATCCCTTTTTATCTAATCCGTCAGCACTCGTGCACGGCTCCTACGTAATCCACGTTAATCTAATCTGCCTGTGCATGGTTTTGGCTTAACATGGATTACAGTAACCCCAGCAAATCCAACTTGAACCATTCTAATCGGATTACCATGCTTGCACAACTGCACGTGCACAGTCGGATCAGATCAATTGTAATCCCTTTCGATCCCCGTTAAGTCGGAAATCCGGAAATTTTGATCCGTGGTAATCCGGGATCATCCAGCTCAAAGTCGTGTACACGAGAACGGATTAACAGCCAAAACAGCTGCGGATTAACCCATAGGGGCCGTTGGTAGGGATCAGCAGCCAGTGTACCCCTGCCCAGCCTTCATACACAGTCCTGGCTCGTAAAAGCATGGTTTCCATTGCTTTTGGGACCACAAAGTACGGTGTCGTACGGTTGTTTGGCATTATAAGTCAATAAAATCATTCCTGGTCATCGGTTGCGGGCGTGGCGCAGTGGTTAGCGCGTAGGTCTCATACGTCAAGTGTGACTTGGGGTATCCTAAGGTCGAGGGTTCGAAACCCTCCGCCCGCAGCTCGCTCGTGTAGCTCAGTGCTGACACCCTCAGCCCCCGGCTGAGGGTGCTGACACCCTCAGCCCTCGGCTGAGGGGGGCTGACGTCGACAGCATTTGTAGTTGCGGTTTCGACTTCGAATCCCGTCGGGAGCAGATTCCGCCTTCCTGCCCGCATTCGCCCGCCTTTTGCCGCGTTACTGCCGCTTGCCGCTTTCTAGCACCTGCGCGTAGAGGGCTATCAGACGCAACCGCCCGCCCCCCAAGCCTTGCAGCCGCCGCCAAACGGGACCAGGGCTAGGGGGGAAGGGCCTAGGGAGGAAGGCCCTAGGGTTGGCGTCGTTTCACTTAGGAAGAGGCTGGGCTGCCGCCATAATCATATTAATAACGTACATGCAGCCTGCATGAATAAGCCGCAATCGGCGCCTGAAAATGCTGCGGCGCCAGGAAGATATTGCCTCCTGATGGCAAGCCAAACTTCCGAACTTCTTCCCCAAACTTGCTCACCAGGCCGCGCTTTGCACAACCAATCATACCTGGGTTCATGCCTTTCAGCATGGTACTGTAAAACAACATTACCTCACAAACGAAAAATGGGAACTCCCCCTAGCACCTTCCGAGCCGTGCAAGCCCCTACCCCCTACCCCCCTAGCCCCCTTCTGAGCCGTGCAAGCCCCTAGCCCCTACCCCCCTGGCCCCCTTCCGAGCCGTGCAAGCCCCTAGCCCCTACCTTCCTAACCCCCATCCCAGCCGTACAAGCCCCTAGTCCCTTCCCCGCGAACCCCCCTCCGAGCCGTGTATGCAAGCCCCTACCTCGTACACCCCGGGTCTCCCTTCCAAACTTCCTCTGGGCGCCGGAGGTCTGTGGTTGGACCACAGGCCCTAGCCTTGGCATCCATTCCAATAAGAGAAGCCTGAAGCCTGCGCCTGCGCTGCTGCCTGCGAACCCATGCCTCAAACAAGGCCGGCCCAGCCTGCAATCCCGCCGCACTTCGGGCCTTCCCGCAACTCGCCAAGCCCTCCCACCGCCCGACGCAGCGCCCCCCTCACATGCAGCGGCAGCATGCCAGCAGCACCCAAGTTGCCCTTTCACATCGCAAGCCCCTACCCCCTGGGGTGGGGCAGCAGGGTGCTGACACCCTCAGCCCTGCTCGCGGGCGTGGTACGACAGCGACACCCCCCCACCACAGGGGGGCCATGCCACAGCCGACCCGTGGGTCACTCAACACCAGAACCGAGCCTGAAACGCCCTTCTAGCTCCCAACATAGCCCAGCTTTTCCCACCCTCTACGACGCGAGCGCCTGCGCCCCACTGTACCACCAACGTCAGCAGCCCCAGCAACACTTGCAGCACCAGGGTAGCCATCCCACCGTGCCCTCCTTTTCATCAATAACACCCACAAACCACAGCGACCCCTACCCGCGACGCCCGCGAAAGCACCGCTGCCTTCCATCACACCTCCTCACCCGCCTAACCCCTTCCCAAGCCCTGTGTAACTTCTAACCCCTTCTCCTACATGCCGCGCCAGCATCTGAACAGAACCCAAACCAGCCTCCAAAAGCGACGGCACCCCCCTCCCACGCTTCTTGGTTTGCCACACCCAGCCGCATGACCCCAACGGCACCGTAACTGGACACCGCCACCATTTACCCTAACTTTAGTTAGCAGTTGCCGCCTGCAACTGCCGGCTGCAACTGCCGGCTGCAACTACCGGCTGCAACTGCCGGCTGCAACTGCCGGTTACAACTGCCGGCTGCAACTGCCCGCTGCAACCCCCGCCTGCAACTCCTGGCGTCAACTGCCGCGTGTCACATCTTATCCTTCGCCTTTCCAACCGAAACGTACCTAACACTACTTAATGCACCGAACCTACTGCCACGACTTTACAGCTTTCCTTAGGTGCTCAACCAGTTCTACTGAAACCCCTGCAGCTGTACTATGTAATAGTAGTTCACCCGTACCGAGAACAATGTACATTAATAGACGCTTATCCTTGACGTTGGTGCTGCTGACCTGCTGGCTAGCACTCTTTACAACGGTTACCTTCGTAGCACGTCCTAACGAGCGCAGTGCAGATGTAGTCTGCAGGCACGCAAATTGGCAACTGGCGTTCCCGTTCTGGCACCGCAACCGACTTCTTCACAACTGCTTCGCACCAGCCCTGCTATGGACGGCACAACTGGCGATATGGGTTGCAAAGATAGGTGCTTTCAAAGCATCGTGCCTTACCTCCGCGATTGCCTCTTGGCTCCTCAACACACCGGTCTTGACCATAGCTGCCGTCTGCCTCCTTCAACTTGCGGTCACGTATTGGCGCCAGTTGGTGCATTGTGTCGTCCTCGCACCTCCTCTCGTCATCTACTTACCAACCCTCACCAGATGTGCCCGTTCGGCACTGTCTCGCGGCCACGCCACCATCCTCTGCCTCCTCCTGATCATGCACTTTGCGACGGCCCTTACTACCACGCCTACCGCTTCGAGCACCACGACTAGAATGCCTCCGATCGTCCCCGACACACCCTCCTCCAACTGCATCCACCTATTCCTTCGCCAAGTGAACGGCAGCACTACACTCGTCCGTATGCCGGCATCCCTACCCATGCAGCGCGTCTTGGAGCTGGACGGAGCTTACTCCCCTGCGACGGCCCATCACCTCCGCCTCATTTGCAATGGAAGGCGCCTTCACCCCTCCCGCAGCCCAACTTACCTACACATCACGAACAACAGTACCGTTCACGTGACCAGCGTATTGCTTGGAGGCATGCAGCGACCACAGCACCAAGGTATGGTACTACTTACGTCCATCATTGCCTCCTATCCTGCCGTTGCCACTTCTGCCATTCTTGTCCCCCGTACCATCCGCCGCACTCCTGCCGCCCCCTTGTACCACAAGCCCAGTCCCCACCACCCACCGCCCCACAGCCGCGTCTCTTATGGAATTGCACACCCTCCTACTCCCTGATGCAGCCTCCAACACGTGAACTTTCCCTTGCCATGCAGGTGCGGCTGGTGAGACGTTCCAGTTTTCTGGACGGCCTTCCAGCGGTCCTGTCCGACCTCCTACGCCCACCTCCCCCACGTTGCACCTCACCGTGGACCTGCTGCAACGACTCATAGACGCGAACCCGCACATCCGCGATGCTTTGCCGCCTCCCACATCCCAGCACGAATGTGGGCAATGGGCGCCGGCCGCCCAGCTTCTCCTGCCTGTACTCGGCGTGCCCCGCAGCCAATGGCAACAGCACCAACGCTCCCTGCAAACCTTTCTGTCGCACAACCGCGACCACCTGCAGCACCTTTCGACCCAACTCCCCAAACGCTTCCTCACTGTGGCATCTGTGCAAGAACTGCTGACTGACCATCCCCATCTGCAGGACCTCCTGCCCCCTGAGGGGCAGGCGTTTCAGGCTGGACATGAGCGGCAGCTGTGTACAGCCCTGCAGCCATTCTTCCCGACCCACTCCGCTCCGCAACTCCTCACCTTTCTATACAACCATGCCAGGCACTTCACACGCCCGCCACCGCCTACAACCGCCAGTACCATTCAACCAGATGCCAACCTCGTCCAAATAGCCGACTTGATGGGTGTGGCGGTTCCCAATGACCCGGCAGCCCAGCAGGAGGCCGACGCTTGGCACGAGCGGCATCGTACGGCACTGATAGACAACGTGACGAAGGTGTTGGAGCACAAGGTACGGTATGGCCCGTGCAGTGGGCATCAAGTACTACCCCATGATGTGCGGGTAGTACGATCACCGAACGGCATTTTGCGCTTGTAACCGCTGAAGTCGTACCGCTTGTCCACGCCGTACCTCAGATGGAATACCACGCCTGCACCTCTTCCCATTGCACCGCTGCATCTCCACCCCGCCTGACACCCAACACTGCCCTCCCACCTGCCCCAATATCAGGCACGCCCGGCAGCATCCGCTCCACTCAGTTTACAGGACCTCGGCTTAACCCTCGACGACGACACCAAGGATGCAGCTGCATTCCGTACGGCACTTGCGGCCAACCTGCCCACCAAGGTATGCAGCTGCTGCAGCCGGCGTCACGTGCCAGCCGACATCCACACCTATCGGTACTTTGATCTG